TCTCTCTTCTTTCTTTCATTCTCTCTCATTCATAAACACGAATCCATTTCGCAAATAAACCCAAACAGAAAAATTAAGAGAAAAAATTAAATCAAAAAATTCTTAATTATATATAGTTTTAAACATTAAGTGAACGCAAAATAATATTAATTTTTGCGAAAGTAAATGAAAAAACGTGTTTCAAAAACGCAAACCACAATTAAAACAGACATCATATGATGTAATACACTATTGAAACTCAATACACAATTGTAACCTCATTTCCTATATAGTGAACACAATTCACTAAATACTCGCTATTAAGACAAACAGTAATTAATTGATTCTCAATTGAAAAAAACAATCAAATGAGAGAAACAATATTTAAAAACCACTCAATCAATCAATTAATAAATATCATATTAGACGTCAGGGATTAGGCAGAAATACACACAGTATTTCACATTTACCAACACTTATACAAACACCAAATGATTATAAATTATAATAAAAAGTAAACTCGTTAAATAACTACTGATATAAAACATAATTAGAATATGGTAAAATAGAAATCTTACCGAGTTGAGAAAATCGAGTTTTAACAATATCTGGAAACAGCACTGATTCTTATACATGTTGATCAAAGCCGGGGCCACACCAATGATGGAGTACTCGCGGGAGAAATAGATGACAAATCGCGACAATATTATCATCACTGATGTAAAGCATACGGCGATACTCAGCCGGGTCTGTGAGTTTGGGAATTCAAAAGTTTCAACATTAGTTTTATTGATTATTTTGTAGTATAATTGTATTTATGTAATTTTGTTTAATGTTAAAAAAAGTAAAAATTTGATGTAATTATTTCTCATAAATTATAATCACTTGTATTTTTCGAGATATTATTTTATTTATTTCTTAAATTCATTTGTTATGCTCTTCATTATAATATAAGTTATCGTTTTGTTTTTTAATAAGTGTTTTAAATATGCAAATAAGTGCTGAAATGAATGCCTTTCGGTAAAAATGAAAATGAAATTTATTTATTTATTTTCTTCGCTAGTATTTTAAAGTATTTCATAATTTTTGCTTAATATTCGTTATACGGAAAGTATTATAGCATTTAATTGCTAATTAAATATTAAATGTAATATACGTTTGCAATTAACTGTGAAAACATTTGGATTGAAAAACTAATATAATAATTAAATAAAATAAATGCAATAAATAATTCATTAAATTGTTAAGTTTCTAACGATATTCTCAAACATAACATGTTGTATCCCATTATTGACTTTAATGTGCAAAATATTTAGCAATAATTTTATAGAAATACAAGAAATAATTAATATTTTTCTAAATTTATATCGTGTTTATTAAAAATTGTTAAATGTGTTAAACAAATATTTGCATAAACTCTCAGAAATCAATGTGATTTATAATAGACATTAAATGTCATCAAAAAATATTATCATAATTTTCTCGCTGTTATAAATTAGAGTTAAGATTTTTATGCAAAATATGAAATAAATTTTACATTTTAAAAACAAAATCATAATTTATCAATGAATTAATGGGCTTTAAAATCATTTTTGAAAAATCAAACAAATTATTAACACTTTAAAGACGGAAATGATTAGAAATGTTTTGTTATTAATGCATATATTAATAAAATTAACAATAATTGTCTCAAAGAGTCAAATAAATCATTTGAATATTCATTTGATTTCCGAGATATAAGAGACACGAGTTTTTCTAAAGATATAATTATTGGCAAATTAAAAGTAACAACAAATCAAAATTAAATCAAACTTATATTATAAACAAAATAACAAGTTATTTGTTGTTCTGTGATATAAGCCAAACATTTTATCACACAAATCAGACCACTATTTAAAAGTATAAAGTATTTAATAGCCTATTAAATAATATTAATAATAGGGAATATTTTTTCCACAAATAATATCAATAGATTTCAATGACAATCATATGAATCCTTAAAATAATATCTAGATTTGTAAAAATAAGGGATTTTTCGGTACACTATTGGAATTATAGGCCATTTATTAATAAATAAGCAAATATTTTTCAGCAACTGATATTCACTGGTATTTATGCCAATATTCATAAGTGTTATGAAATTTTTTATAAAAAACTATTTATAAATGTTTAAATTTTAACTAAAATCAAACTTAAAACTTTAATCAATTAACTATTCATAAACCAATTAATTGTATTAAATGAATTATTTAAAACCAATTTAATAAATAAGTGTAATATTTATCAGTCATTAATATTTTATCGTAAAATAAATATATAAATTGCTTAACAATTAAAGAGCACAATAAATGATGACAAAGAATACTCCGGTTATCAATAGATAATACACTAAACTAAAAGAGAGGTATTATCAGAGGCCGAGAGGCACTCCCAATATCACTATTAGTATCAATAAATTGCAATTAAATTAAATACCAGTTTATGTGCAGAGTTGTAGTCACTAGTGAACGCAAACTCAATCGCGATGTAAACCGTATTCAAAGACATTGTGACCAGAAATAGCGAAATGTCGTGTTGTTTGTCCCAAAACACACCATGAAATAGAAATAGCAGTGAAAATCCTGTATAATTATAGATAAAATTTACGGTAAATTAAATAATTAATTAAATAATTAAATGTAATAGAGGAAAATAGACAAATATCCACATATTCTGGACATATGATTAGGGTATTAATTGATTCTATTATTTTGTACCGTATAATGTTTGTTAAATAATATTTACCGTTAATGACAAGAACAATGAGGTTTATAATAAACGAGGTGTCCATCGATTGATTCTTCATTTGCTGGAAGTCCATCTCGAAGACAGTGAATGTAGTGATGGCCGACACCTCGATTGTGGCCAGTATTAGGAATAGCCATTGCCATGAGTTGTAACCCAATATAAGCCTTAACTATTAAATAGAAAATAATAAAATTGTTTTGCATTACTTAGAAGTCAATGATATTTTGTCGATTAAACTAACTTTCATTTTTCTAATCAATGGTTGTATTCATTGAAATAAAAACATTTTTCTCAAATAAATATAATATTGATTTGAGTTTGAATTTTCTTAATGAGTTAATTAACATCAAACATGCATTTTTATATGATTAGTACTGATATAAAAATGTTTTTATATAATCATATCTGGCGACACATGAGAGACAGTGTCACCACAAACTATGGTTAGATAGTGTTGAAGACTGACCTGTCTTTGGGGCCGGAATTCATGCGAATTGTTGTCCAAATCGGTGTACGAATCGCTTCCAAACAGACACGACATCCCTTTTAAACACTGATAACTGTCTCACTCTTAACCAATAACTATACTAATCGCTAATCAATACTATTAACGCATTATTTATTTGTTTAATATTATGTATATTAATGACTATCGCAACAAATCATGTGTAAAAATATATGAAATCAAATTTAAATACGTTATGTTATACTGTATTCACTAATCGTATATCAAGAGTGAAATGTGTTTATTTGTGTATTTCTATGGCATTAATAGTGAACTTCGATATCATTTCTCAATGCAATACAAGTGTGTTGTTATCAATAGTAAAAGGCATTGATTTGTGTCTAGTTTTAGACCAATTAATTCATAGTCAACACAATTGCCGCTCAATTTATCTCATATTTTTTATCGTTGAAATTGATTTCACGTTTTTATTCAAATAATTGACTTTTTATCACAATTAGGAGAGAGAGAGAGAGAGAGAGAGCTTGTTTTAAATCAATAAAACACGCGGCTTTAATTAAATAAAATGAGTTAACTGGTTTACCCACAGCAATGGGCGGCCGTCACTACTGACCGACGACCGGCCAGCGCACCCCCGCAAATGTGCTGTAATTCAAACCAACCATTGCTGACTATCGATACTTGAAATGGAGCCTGGTCGGATTTAGCGTCGGTTCCGCCCACAATTCTACCATCGTTATACCTTGGTGAGATTGCTATGTAAGCATAAGCAATTTGGGTCATTAGCTCGAGTCCAATCAACAGTATTATTTCACTTCTCATATCGTTGTAAATATATATAAATTGACTGTTATTTAAATAAAATTTTCATAAAATTTATTATAAAATGATTATGTATTCTAAGAAAAATAATTGTTAAATAATGATTTTTTTATTGTTAGAATAATAATTATTAATTAGTGTTAATCTATTAAAAACAATGTAATAAATATTTTATTATATATGAATTTCTCTGTGCAAGAAACACCGATCTCTGAATGCTTTCATAGCACTTATGCTTCACTGCAATACTATCAAAGGAGGCAATGCTTAACCGCAATACTAGCAAAGCGTGGCTATGAGTTATAAATATGAATTTCTCTGTGCAAGAAACACCGATCTATGAATGCTTTCATAGCACTTATGCTTCACTGCAATACTATCAAAGGAGGCAATGCTTAACCGCAATACTAGCAAAGCGTGGCTATGAGTTATACTGAAGCATTACAGTTAAGCATTGCCTCCTTTGATAGTATTGCAGTGAAGCATTAGTGCTATGAAAGCATTCAGAGATCGGTGTTTCTTGCACAGAGAAATTCATAT